CCCTGCTCTGTGCATGACAGGGGGCAGTGCCCAACCCCCTGATTGGCCCTGCTCTGTGCGTGACAGGGGGTGGCGCCGCAACCTCCCCATCGACCCTGCCTTGAGTGTGACAGGGGGCGGTGCCCCAACCCCCCAATCGGCCCTACCCTGAGCGTGACTGAGGGTGGCATCGCAACCTCCTGATCCGCCCTGCTCTGTGCATGACGGGGCGGCGCCCCAACTCCCCAATCAGCCCTGCTCTGAGCCTGACCAGGGGCTGCACCTAGGGATTGGGCCTGCCCTCTGCCACCCGGGAGCAGGCCTAAGCCAGCAGGTCGTTATCTCCCAAGGGGTCCCAGACTGCGAGAGGGCACAGGCTGGGCTGGGGGACCCCCCACCCCCCATCCCCGAGTGCACAAATTTTTGTGCACCGGGCCTCTAGTAAATAAATAAAACCACAAAAATATTCACAGCACAATTTCCTGAAATGTTAACAATGTGAGGTTTAGGGGTAAACTGACTAGCATTCTCTCCTTTGTTTATGGCTTTTTCTCATGCTGAGGCATCAGCATGAAAGGGTTGTTGAACAACTGAGACTTTTTTTTAAGGACAACTTGGTTGAGAACCCAACTGTTAGAAATAGGAGACATTTGAGAACCGAGGTTTGACTGTACCTACTCATTTAAGGTAAACGACCATTTAAAGCAAAGAACACTTTTCCTATATTGGTATCTACTACTACTGGTATTTACTACTATATATATTGGTTTTTGCATCTACTAATGATTAGCATCCAGACCACAGATGTTCCCATCCAGACCACAGATGTTCCTGAATTACTGACACATTTCACTGCAAGTGAAAAGAAATAACTTGACTTACATCCTCAATGCTGGGAGCAGGCACACGAATTGCCAGACATCGACTACGAATAGGTGGTATCACTTTAGATGTAGAATTGCAACACAAGATCAATCTGCAGGTAGACATATACTTTTCCATGGTTCTACGCAAGGCATGTTGAGCATCTCTGGTGAGTTTGTCAACCTCTGTCAACAAAACCACTGAGAGAAGGAGAAACAAAACAAACTTTAACTTGCATAACTATATGCTTCTCCCTCTTCATTATTCAGCATGAAATCTTAAATAATAATCCTGATATATTACTCTTCCCTTTGACAAGGACATATTGAAGTTACAGGTACAGTAAAAATAACTTATTTTTATTTTCAAAATTCTATAAGACTAAGAAATTCTAGGCTAAATGAAGTTAAAGAGGTTAACTTACTATAGAATTCATTATAGCCTTTATAATATTTACTAGACGCCTGGTGCACGAGATTCATGCACTGGGTGGGGGGGAGGGTCCTTCAGCCCAGCCTGCACTCTCTTGCAGTCCGGGACCCCTTGGGGGATGTCCGCCTACTGGCTTAGACCCAATCCCCCGAGACATCGCTCTCATAGCCCGGGGCTCTCGCAGTCCGGGACCCCTTGCTGCTTACCACCTGCCTGCAGCAGAGGTGGGAGAGGCTCCCGCCACTACCGCGGTGCTCACCAACTGTGAGCCTAGCTTCTGGCTGAGCGGCGCTCCCCCTGTGGAAGCACACTGACCACCAGGGGGCAGCTCCTGCGTTGAGCATCTGTCCCCTGGTGAACAGTGTGCGTCATAGTGACCAGTCATTCCGCCGTTAGGTCGATTTGCATATTATGCTTTTATTATATAGGATATGCACTAAAAAGAGAATCACCAAAACAAGGATGTATGGTGCTACATTTTCCAAAAATATTTTACTATCTCAGTAGCCCATGACTGTGGAACATCTTTTAATCAGGGGTGGGGAACATCCAGCCCACAGGCCATATAAGGCCCATGAAATAACTTTGTCTGGCTCTGCCAAGGCATTAGGAGTGAGTTAATTAACTGTCTGACAAATATAGCAGGCTAATTTTAAGGTAATAATTTTGTATGGCCCACAAATGATGTTATAAATATGCAAATGGACTTTAGCAGAAAAAAGATTCCCATTGCTGTCTTAAATCATAGCATTCTAAGGAATATACTTTGGAACACTGCCACAGAGATGTAGCAAACAAGGCATAAAGACATCTGGTTACTTGTATAGTAAGTAAGTTTCTACCTGGCCATAATTAGTCTTAAGACTAGGCCTTAAATATTTTCAAGAATAATATGTAGGTACAGACTGAATCCAACTGCTGTATTATTCATTATACCAATTTCTGTCTAGCAGATGGCAGCATTCCAATCTCTCCGATATAAACAGACAGGACTAAATATTCCAAGACCAAAGACCCATGGACAACATTTATACCAAAACATAGTAACAAGCTTTACCTAAGAACCCCAAAATACTAGAAAGTGAAAATACTGGTAAACGACTATGCATGGGAGGAAGTGGCTAGGATTTAGTAGGTTTCTGACAGTCTTTAGGGCAGGAGAACCCTAAATCACCCACAAGAAAACTCTAGAAAGCATCAAGGGCTAAGATGAGAACAGAATCCATAGGGCTGAGAACAATGGAACGTTGATGCAATAAGGTTTGACAGAGCACTAGACTGAAAATAACAAAATGGAGTGCCCCTCTAAGACAATGTTTCACAATGAGGAGAAATTCTGGAGAGAGAATCCAAACTGAACAGAATAGGAAAAAGAGAGAAAAAGATTGATCCCGAAATATGACTAAAATAGAACCAAACAAAGTAGCAAAATCCAACAGATACAAAAAATAAATCTGGTAGTCAGAAAATAGAAGCATATCTATAAAATTAAAACATGACCAAGTGAGTTTTACTCTAGAAATGCAATGCAGTTTCATTAGGATATCCAGTAATATAATCCTACATAATAAAAGCCGAATACGCTAAGTGTCCAGTTGAACTGTCGGCTGTTCAACGAATCAAAGCATAATATGTTAATGCCGCTCAACTGCTCGCTATGACGTGCACTGACCACCAGAGGGCAGACGCTCCAACCAGTATGTTAGCTTACTGCTGGGTTATGGCCAATAGAGACTGAGAAGATGGGCCAGACAAGCCCTGGAGCCCTCCCATGGTCCCTTCCCAGCTGGCCAACCTTCCATGTCCCTCCCCGGCCCCGATCATGCACCAATGGGGTCCCTTAGCCTGGCCTGTGCCCTCTCGTAATCTGGGACCCCTCGAGGGATGTTAGAGAGCCGGTTTCGGCCCAATCCTGCAGACCAGGCTGAGGGACCCCACTGGTGCATGAATTCGTGCACTGGGCCTCTAGTGTGTGTGTGTGTGTATATATATATATAGAGAGGGAATATGCTAATTGGTCTTAACGGTGTCCATCACGACCGTTCAACAGGCTGCGTGCACACAGGATCTGGAGGGCGGGGATGGGGGCGGGGACTTGCGCCACTGAGACATGAGGCTGCCACCAGGGGCAGTCCCCCCGGCAGATGCACGCACAGGCCCGCCGTGCCTCCTGGCCTGGAGGGGGGGTGTCAGGATGGGGGCAGGGCCTCGGCAGAGATCTCTCAGCACTCCTGTGCCAAGGTCTGAAGGCGCGGAGAGAAAGGGAGAGCAGATGGGAAGTTAGAGTGTTTAGGCCAGGAGGGAGAGCAGATAGGCAGTTAGGGAGATCAGGCCAGGAGGGGAGAGCAGTTAGGGGGATCAGGCCAGCAGGTCACAGCAGTTAGGCAGTTAGGGGGATCAGGCCAGGAGGGGAGAGCAGTTAGGGGCATCAGGCAGGTGAGCACTTAGGCGCCAGTGGTTCACTAGAGGCCTGGTGCACGAAATTCGTACACTCGGGACGGGAGGGCGGGTCCTTCAGCCCAGCCTGCACTCTCTCACAGTCCGGGAGCCCTTGGGGGATGTCCAACTGACAGACATCCTTGGCGCTTGAGCTGCCCCGTTGTGGTCAGTGCATGTTATAGTGACCAGTTGTTCCACCGTTCTGTCAATTTGCACATTAGCCTTTTATTAGTATAGGATTATACTAACAGACCTAAGAAGAAAAGTCATAAAAACACATTCATGGATGAAAAAGAAGCATTTGAAAATTTTAACACACATTCACGTTAGAAACAATAAAATAAAAAACTATGGATATTTCCTTACCGTGATATACCTCAGGTCAAAATCTAGCAACTATCTAAATGGTGAAACCTTAGGGCTTTCCTCTTTCCAGAGTTGTGACAAAAGCATTCAATATCTCTACTCCTATTAACCACTGTATTGAGGTGATGCTAAACATGGTTAGACAAGAGAAAGTACTTAAGGCCATACAAATTGGATAGTAAAAGGGAAAACTGTCTCTATTTACAAATGATATGAATGCATATCTGAAAAACCGGAAAGAGACATTGTAAAGACTATTACAAACAGTAAGAGAATTTAATAATGTAGTAGGATATAAAATCAAGACATAAATATCAACAGCTATCAAATATGTAAACAAAAAAGCAAATATAAAACGATTCATTTATAGTAGCAAAAATAAATAAGTAAATATTTATATTTATTTTGAAATACAGACCGAGGAGGAAGGTAACAGCTGGGAATATACACAGGCAATTCACAAAACAGTAAAATGAGCAATGAACAAAATAAAAAATTACCAGACTTACTAAAAACAAATAAAAACACGCTCAATTTATTTCCTTAACTAAATCTGAGAAAGAGTAAAATTTTCCCAATGTTGATGAATATGGGGAAAAAACAGGACCTCCCCATTTCCACTGATAGCAGTATAAACTTATACCATAATTCAGATAAAGAATTTTGCAAAAAATATCAAAAGCACTAAATATTGGCATATTTATCATCACAAAAATCTTCTATAAGAATGTGTGCATAGATAGATGTGCAAAATGGCAGTGGAATAAGTGGAAGCAACAACGACAAGCTCCCAGGACTAAACTGAAATTACAACTAAAATACAGAAAAACCATCCTGAATAGTCAACTGAAGACTAGCTGGAGTGAACCCAGATAACCAAGGACAGAAAGTGGAGACCACAAAGAGACTGGTAGGAAGTGCAGAGGTGCAAGAGGGCTAGCTGGGCTCCCACAGACATCAGCTGAAGTTCCGGAGGGATATCTCAGCTGTGGGGGGAGAGGGGAGTTCCTACTGAGAACTCTGGAGTCTAAACCACAAGCTGGGCCCCCAGCTAAGAGCACCAGAATTGAGAAGGGTCCCCACTTATCATCTGTCTATGAAAAGCAGAATTGCAGTCTGCCAGGGAGAGACAGCTGGAAACACAGGCACCTTCTTAAAAGGCCAACTCACAAAATTAAGTGTGCACCCACTCACCATGGACTCCAGCAGAGGGAGGGCAGAGTGCACTGGAGCTGTAGGAGCAGAAGCCAGGGTTGGGGGCTCTGGGGTTAGAGCTTGGAAGGCAAACACCACAGTTTCTTGAGCCAAGTAATTCCCTCATATGGCAGAGGACATCCATCACCAGCAGACCATTACTATCCAGGCAGGTTTTGTCTCTCTGGGGAGCAGGGGGTTGGTAGGGGGAGCAACTGCTTTTTTTATAAAAACTCCCAGCAAAGTGGGAATAGAGGGACCATACATCAACATAATAAAGGCCATATATGACAAACCTACACCCAACATCATACTCAATGGGCAAAAACTAAAAGCATTCTTCCTAAGAACAGGTACAAGACAGTGATGTCCACTTTCACCACTCTTATTCAACACTAGTGGCCTGGTGCACAAAATTCGTGCACATTAAAAGGGGATTAATTAGAGGAAATATTTTAATATTGCTATTTGCCCTTTCTCTATAATAGAAGTGTCAGAGATGAAAGAAAATTAGTAAAATGTATATGAAAATCTTCCTCCTGTCAGAGTCTGGGGTGCACCACAGGACCCAGATTCAAGTCCCCGCCCACCCATGTGCGCCTCGAAATCGCGTGAGACCCAAACCCGGCCGGTCCTACCCTTGTCAAGCCCCGCCAGGGCAGGGTCACAGCATGAGGTCCACCATCAAGCCCTGCCAGGTGGGGGGCGCACCTTGAGGTCTCCCGTCAAGCCCCACCGGGTTGGGGGGGGCACGGCCTGAGGTCCCTGCTGATTGCTCGTGAAGGCTCGTTACAGAAATTCGGCCTCTGCTGTGGGTGCAGCCATCTTGTCTTACAGAAACCCCTTCTCTGCTGTGGGTGCCAACATCTTTGTGGCGAAGTGACGGTCAATTTGCATATTCCCTCTTTATTATATAGGAAAGTACTGGAAGTCTTAGCCACAGTGATTAAACAAGAAAAAAAAAAGCATCCAAATTGGAAAGGAGAAAGTAAAACTCTCATTTTTCGCAGATGACATATTGTACATAGAAAACCCTAGAGACACCATCAAAAACACTACTAGATTTAATAAATGAATTCAGCAACATAGCAGGATACAAAATTAACACCCAGAAATCGATGGCATTTCAATACACTAAAAATGGATTCTCAGAAAGAGAAACTAAACAAACAATCCCACTTACTATTACCATAAAAAAAATTAAGATACTTAGGAAGTAACTTAAACAAGGAGGTAAAAGACTTGTACTCAGAAAACTATAGGACGTTGAAAAAAAGATAAAAACAAGTGGAAGAATCCTATATAATAAAAAGTTAACATGCAAAAAATGGTCGTCACACCCTCACGCCATAATGGCTCAGACACTCAACACTGGGGAGAGAGGAATGAGGACCAGCCAAGCACAAATGAGCTCCCAAGAGATGAATGGGGACCAGCCAGGCACAAATGAGCTCCCGAGAGAGGAATGAGGACCATCCAGGCACAAATGAGCTCATGAAAGAGGAATGGGGACCAAACAGGCACAAATGAGCTCCCGAGAGAGGAATGGGGACCAGCCAGGCTGTGGCCCAGGAGAGGGACAAGCCGTCTGCTCCGCGGTCACAGGTGCCTGTGGCTGTGGCCTGGACAAAGCCGGCCCATGTCCTGGGTGCCTGCGGCCAGCCAGAGGGAGGGAAGCCCAGGTCCTGGGTGTGGGGCTAGGCGGTTAGGGGCAATCAGGACAGCAGGGGAGCAGTTAGCGGTGATCAGGCAGGCAGAGGTGGTTAGGGGTGATCAGGCAGGCAGAGGGGTTAGGGGTGATCAGGCAGGCAGGCGAGCCACACAAAAAAAATAAGCATAAACTTAACCAAGGAGGTCAAAGGCCTATACTGGTAAAACTGCAGGACATTAAAAAAAGAGATAGAGGATGATGTAAACAAGTGGAAGAATATACTGCATTCATTGATTGGTAGAATTAACATCATTAAAATGTCCATACTACCTAAAGCAATTTATAGATTCAATGCAATCCCTATTAAAATACCAACAGTATATTTATAATATCTAGAACAAATACTCCAAAAATTAATATGGAACCAAAAAAGACCCCAAATAGCTGCAGCAATCTTGAGAAAGAACAAAGTTGAAGGGATCATAATACCAGATATCAAGTTATATTATAAAGCCACTTTGCTCAAAACAGCCTGATACCATCACAAGAATAGGAATAAAGATCAATGGAACAGAACAGAGACCACAGAAATCACACCAAGTGATTATGCTGAATTAATATTTGACAAAGGAGGCAAGAGCATACAATAGAGTCAAGACAGTCTCTTCAATAAACAGTGTTGGGAAAATTAGACAGATGCAAAAAAAATGAGACTAAACCAACTTACACCATACTAAAAATAAACTCTAAATGAATAAAAGATTTAAATGTAATTTGGAAACCATAAAAATACTCGTCTCAGACATCTCTCATAGCAATATGTTAACAGATACATCTCCCAGAGCAAAGGAAACTAAGAAGAAAAGAAACAAATGGGAGTACATCAAAAGAAAAAGCTTCTGCATAGTGAAATAAACCATCAACAAAATGAAAAGGGCCAAAACCGGTTTGGCTCAGTGGATAGAGCGTTGGCTTGCGGACTGAAAGGTCCCAGGTTCGATTCTGGTCAAGGGCATGTACCTGGGTTGCGGGCACATCCCCAGTAGGAGATGTGCAGGAGGCAGCTGATCGATGTTTCTCTCTCATAAAATAAACAAATGGGACTACAACAAAATAAAAACCTTCTGCACAGCAAAAGAAACCCTAAAAAAAAAAATGAAAAGGGAGCCCACTGTATGGGAGAATATATTTGGCAATGATACATCTGATAAACAGTTAATATCCAAAATATATAAGGAACTCATACAATTTAACAAAGGAAGATAAACAAGTCAATTAAAAAATGGGCAAAGGAACCAAATAGACACTTCTCCAAAGCAGACATTCAGATGGATAAGAGACATATGAAAAAATGCTCACAGTCACTGATCATCAGAGAGATGAAAATCAGAAGGACAATGAAGAATCACCTCTCACCTGTCAGAATGGCTACCATCAACAAATGGCAAGTGCTGGCAAGGATGTGGCAAAAAGAGATCCCTAGTACACTGCTGGTGGGAATGCAGACTGGTGCAGCCACTATGGAAAACAGTATGGAGTTTCCTCAAAAAATTAAATTATGTAACTGCCATTTGACCTAGTGACCCCACTTCTAGAATATATCCTAAAAACCTGAAACACCAAACAGAAAGGAAGTATGCTCCCCTATGTTCATAGTAGGGCAATTTACAATAGCTATGATCTGCAAACAGCCCAAATACCCATCAATAGATGAGTGGATAAAAAAGCTATAGCACATTTATACCATGGAATACTATGCAGCAGTAAAAAAGAAGCATTTCTTACCCTTTGAAACAGCCTGGATGGACCTGAAGAATATTATGCCAAGCGAAATAAGCCAGTCAGAGAAAGGTAAGTATCACATGATCTCACTCATATGTGTGAACAAAATAAACTGATGAAGAAAATAGGTCTAGAGATATAGAAGCTTGGAAGAGACTGTGGAATCTCAGAGGGAAGGTGGAGATAGGTGGGTACAGATCAACAAAATAAGTTATATGCATATAATCATTATCCATGGACACAGACAACAGGGTGGTGAAGGCCTAGGGTGGTGGGCGGGGGCAGCTGGCAGGGGTCAATTGTGGGGGAGTAAATGGGATGTATGTAATACTTTCAACAATATAGATTTTTAAAAAAGAATGTGTACATGTATATATACATATAAATGATAATGGAAGTTAATGACAAATGCACCACAATAATTTTATCTCAACGGTGGGATTATTGCTTATTTAATTTTCTTTTTGTTTATTTAGATCAGTGGTTCTCAACCTTCCTAATGCCTCGACCCTTTAATACAGTTCCTCATGTTGTAGTGACCCCCAACCATAAAATTATTTTCGTTGCTACTTCATAACTGTAATTTTGCTACTGTTATGAATCGTAAATATCTGATATGCAGGATGTATTTTCATTGTTACAAATTGAACATAATGAAAGCATAGTGATTAATCACAAAAACAATATGTAACTATATATTCAATATGTGTTTTCCGATGGTCTTAGGCGACCCCTGTGAAAGGGTCGTTCGACCCCCAAAGGGGTTGCGACCTACAGGTTGAGAACCGCTGATTTAGATATTTGATAATAAACATATAACTTTGGTCCTAACAACAGTTATCTTTTTTAAATATATTTTTTATTGTTGATAGTATTACAAATATGTCCCATTTAAGGCCAGTTATTTTTCTAAATCATGTAATCTTAGCAGTACAAATAACCCTCTTTCCACCAAAATTCAATTCCACAGAACTGTATGTAAGCTCCCATGAGAACAGAGATCATGATTTTCTTACTTTTAGATTTCCTACCCCCAAAAGTAGCATAATCCTTGACAGAGAATAAACGGTTAATAAATATTTGTTAAATGGATGACATTTACAAATTCCCACTACATTTTCTCTCATACGCATTCCTTACAATTTGAGTGTCTGTCGAATGAAAATAATTTTTTTTATCATATACCTTTAAAGTCTCTTTGAGAGTTTGTTTCAAGTTGCTGTGATTGTGCCACTGTTTTCAACATCTCCTGAATTACTACCCGGTCACTATTTCCAGCATCACTATATAAACAGAAATAATGATTAAAAATACACACACACATCACTAACAAACAAAAATAATGATTAAAAAAATACACACACACACTTGAAAGTATTATGCCCTTATTGTTAATGTTATTATAAGAAAGATGTTGGATATTAAGTAGTTACAATTTTAATCAAAATTCATAAAACCTAATTACATTCACAAAACATTAAAACTGAGATATTTTAGGGTTATTAAAAATACTAACAATATTCCAGATTTAATTACAATTTAACCTCTGAAAACACTAAGTTTACTGTTACTTAAAAAGAGCAGTAACTAATAATTACCAGTTCAATTACTTTAACACTTCTGTATACACTATAGTTACTACCTAGTTACAGCTAATTTTCTTGATTATCTAGAATTACTCAAAATATAGAAATAACTATTTGAAACAAATTTAACTTCCATTCTTCTTCCCCATTATCAAAACAGCAAAGATCTAAGAGAGAACAACTCTAGACACACCTGCTCCCAGCACTAGCATGGAGCTGACTCCCTTAGCAAGGCAATGGGATAAGCAAATGGAATTTAAGATACAAAGTCAGAACTCCATAAGCTGTTAACTTATTATAGGCATTATCTATCATTTATACCCACATATTGCTTTAGCATTTAAGTCATGTGCCTCACAAACCAACCTAAGTCACCGGGTTAATTTAGGCTGAATGTCAATTTCAAACATCTGAAAAACAATCAGCTTAATCTCTAATTGACTATTCTTGCTACAGAGGAACTCACAATGAGAAAGATGGCAAAGCAATCAGTTTTATTTTCCTAGCCATCAAATCTTTCTCAATTCACTATTAGGTCAATATACCTACAGTGTCTTTTTTATGATAATTTTCTAGTCAAGAATCTAAACCATTTTCCTTTTGTCTATGGAATTAAAACTTTTTCTACATTTATGATCAAATCCTTCCCACCAACATTATTTCTCTTAATTTTCTTTGACATACCTAGGGAAAATCCTATGTACTAAAAGGCTAATATGCAAATCGAATGAATGGCGGCACTACCAGTCACTATGACGTGCACTGACCACCAGGGGGCATATGCTCAATGCAGGAGCTGCCCCCTAGTGATCAGTGCGCTCCCCGGGAGCGCTGTTCAGCCAGAAGCCCTGAGCCAGGCTCACAGCTGGTGAGCGCAGCGGTGGTGGTGGGAGCCTCTCCCACCTCCACAGCAGCGCTAATGATGTCCGACTGATGGCTTAGGCCCGCTCTCCCTGGGGAGTGGGCCAAAGCCGTCAGTCGGACATCCCCTGAGGGCTCCCGGACTGCAAGAGGGCGCAGGCCGGGATGAGGGATCCCCCCCCCCGCCCGAGTGCACAAATTTTGTGCACCGGGCCTCTAGTAATAATAATACCTATCAGGATTGTTTTGAGGGCTAAATAATCCATGTAAAACTTTTCTCAGGGTGCCTTATACTGAATATATATTAGCTTATAATCCTATTCCTCCTGCTCCGTTCAGTCTTGCTCATTAGTTCTGAATTAGTTAATAATTTTTTTAAAACTTACTATGTACTTTACTTTGTGTAAAACACCAAGCTCTGTAAAGCAAGAAAACTTAATTATCAAAATTATTTGAATGAGGGGTTCTCAGAGAGAAGGCAAATTGAGAGGGTCTAGGCCAGGGGTGGGCAACCTTTTTGTGAGTGCGTGCCATAACCAGCAAAATCTCTGACTCAAAATTCTTCTGTGTGCCAACCCTAATTTTTTGAGAACATGTTACGCCTACTTGATATCTCTTAAGGTGTACGTATGTGAAGAACCTTGAAGAAATAATAAAATTCATTCGAGCGACAAAAACACAGTATATGATGATGAAAAATACATTTATTTTTTAATGTATACATGTACACTGATAGTCCGACAGAAAACTTTATGACTCCGTTTGATATTATCAGTGGGACTTTTGCTGCTGCATCACTGATGACAGAGATTTTACATCAGGTTTATATTTCTTGACCTTCAGAGATATGCATGAGCTACTACTTTCATCCGTCAGGCTACTCCTATTACGAGACTTAATAAAATTCATCACTGAGAACAAAGATTCACAAGCGTATGTGGATGAAACCAAAACACTGGTCTGATCTAGGAAGGCAGGGAGAGTTAAGGCAGAGGCATAGAAATTGCTCTTCCCCTCTCTCGTCAATCCATGTCTATGGTCTTTAAGATAACTTGTTATGTAAAATTATTTATTTATCTAAGATGCACCTACACTGGATTTATCTGAAAAATAAAAAAGTCGATATTAAGAAAAAAATTGTAAATGGAAGATTATAAGAGAGGGTTTCACGTGCCAGCAAAAGTTACTGGCGTGCCATGTTTGGCACACGTGTCAGGGGTTGCCCACCCCTGGTCTAGGCTCTCTAATCCCCATTAGGCAGCTTCATTTTTATCTGTTTATACACTGTGTTTTCATACATGATTTTACTTTAAGAAAGGGTTCTACTCTTTTAAAAAAAAGTCTGAACATCATTATTCTAAAAATGCTTATTTAGCCTTGGCTGGTGTGGTTCAGTGGTAGAGTATTGGTCTCAGGTTCGATTCCAGGTCAAGGGCATGTACCTGGGTTGTAGGTTCATTCCCCTGCCCTGGTTGGGGCATGTGCAGGAAGCAACCAATTGATATCTCTCTCTCACATCAATATTACTTTCTCTTTCTCTCTCTCTCCTGCCCTCCCTCCTTTCCACTCTCTCTAAAAATCAATGGGAAAAATATCCTTGGGTGAGGATTAACAAAAAATAATAAAAATGCTTATTTTTATACAGTAGCAGCTTACCTGGGATTTACTTCAAGGTGGTAATTGCTTGCAATAGTGCTAATTTCAATTTTCTTTTTAGATGGAGTCTGTGGACAAAGAAAATAGATGTTCTTAACATTCATTTATTTGGCTAGCTCTCCTCTTTCCTGTATTTCACTGTTTCTTTTTATTATACTAGAGGCCCAGTGCATGAAAGTCCTGCATTGGGGGGGGGGGGGGTCCTTCAGCCCGGCCTGCACCCTCCCCCAATCCGGGACCCCTCAGGGGATGTCCTACTGCCGGTTTAGGGCCCTTCAGCCCAGCAGTCAGATATCCCTCACAATCGGGGACCCTGGCTCCTAACTGCTCGCCTGCCTGCCTGATTGCCCTTAACTGCTTGCCTGCCTGCCTGACCGCCCCTAACCACTCTGCCTGCCTGATCCCCCGACCACCTGCCTGATGGCCTCTAACCACTCTGCCTGCCTGTCTGATCGCTCCTAACCGCCTCTGCCTTGGCCCCTGCCACCGCGGCTTTGTCTGGAATGACTTCCGGAAGGTTGTTCAGCTGTCCGGTCTAATTAGCATATTATGCTTTTCCTATCTAATAAAAGAGAAACATGGTAATTAGCCGTACAGCCGCTACCCTTCCCATTGGCTAATCAGTGAGATATGCAAATTAACTGCCAGCCAAGATGGCGGCCGGCAGCCAGGCAGCTTAAAGCGAACAGGAGGCTTGCTTGCTCCAGTGACGGCAGACTCCAACGTTCCCCGCTTGACTAGCCGGCCTCTCAGCTGCAACTCTAAGCAACTATGTTGCAAATATAGAAGCTAAACAAAACCCCAGAAACCTGCTTTAGTCAGCCGGGCATCAGCCAGCCGGACCGTAACATTGTATCAAATACAGAAGGTAAACAAAGGCCAGAAACCTGCTTTCAGCAGCCGAGGCCTCAGAGCTAAAGCTGGCCCAGAAT